TATACATATATACATACATATAATCGGATACTAACATACATACATATTGTCACGTAGCAACGATTTCATTAACCATATAGGCGTTAGGCTAAAGTAAAATCTTAAATAAAGAGAAAATTAGTTAGATATAAAAGAAAGATAAATAAATAGATAAAAACAGAAATTTAATCCGATGCTTCCGATTCGCGAGCGAATATATTCTATGATCAGCCATACCCCCCTCTTCTCTTCACAAATTCTTTCTCTCCTTATCCTCTCTTCCACCCGCCAGCCAAGGGCCCGTGAACTTAGAAGTGACCCGACGCGAGGATGACCTGGTTCTAAGATTTCGCGTTTGACCATGAGTAAACTCCAGACACCATCAGGGTCTCATGCTGCGATTCACGTGATCGGGACGTACGGAGCATGCGTTGAACTTTTGGCCATCACACAAACACTGCGTGATTTGCGCCCTATTCTCCTGCGTACCCGGTCAAGGACGAGGGGAACCCACGTGACTGTCTGTGGGGACAGCGAAAACCAAAGAAGGATTTTTCAGTTTCCCTCTGACCAGCGGCAGTTGAACATCGCTGGGCAAAAATCGTCAGACCGCCCACTGAGATGAGGAAGACCACGAAGTCTATCGACTAGTGATTGAACACTTGCGAAAAGAAGAAGAATCCAGGAACATTGTCGGCCGGCCAAGATACTGATTTATCATCAGAACTCTCGCTTCGGCGAATCAAAACTTTGTGAAGATACCAGCCCGACTGCAAGATAAGTTGGTTCTTTTGGCTCGATCTATTTTCATATGTGTATGTATTCGCTCGCGCCTTCTATTCTTTACTGATGTCCTCCCCTTTGTTAAATGAATGTTCTTTTTTTTCTTTCTTTGTTTCGTTACATATATATTTATAAATAAATGTTTAATTTTGAAAGCCATCGTCTTGTGTCTGTTCTTCGTTGATTCCCTTGTGTCGCTTCCATTTCCTGAGTGAAGACCGAGAAAAAGAAACCACGTTTTCCTTTTTTTTTTAGAACCCGTGGTTCATCTATATGCTACAAGTTCGTAACAATATAAACGAATAAATTGAGATAGATAGATAGATAGATAGATAGATAGATAGATAGATAGATTATGAATACACTTAGATAGATAGATAGATAGATAGATAGATAGATAGATAGATAGATAGATAGATAGATAGATGTGAACACAATAACGGATAGACAGGCCGACGTGAATAGATAGATAGATAGATAGATAGATAGATAGATAGATAGATAGATAGATAGATAGATGTGAACACACTAATATTAGATAGATAAATAGATAGATAAATATACATAGATTATGAATACACTTAGATAGATAGATAGATAGATAGATGTGAACACAAGAACAGATAGACAAACAGACCGATGTGAATCGATAGATAGATAGATAGATAGATTGATAGATAGATGTGAACATATATATATAGATAGATAGATGTGAAGACACTGCTAGATAGATAGATAGATAGATAGATAGATAGATAGATAGATAGATAGATAGATGTGAGCACACTAACAGATAGACAGACCCATGTGAACAGAAAGACATAGATATGAACAGACTGAGATAGATAGATATGAATACATTGAGATTTTATTTAGTCCTTGAAGAAAGTGGAAATGAAATAAAAATGAAAAACATTGTCATGGCAATGTGACATACACGTTGTGAGCTCAACATTACAAATAACCGAGAAAAATGCTTTTGGAAAGAAGAGAAAAAATGAAACAAGATAAAAGAAAGAACATTAAAACAAGAATCGATGGAGAGAAACAGAAACAAGTGACAAAAAGATAGACTTCCTCACAAATTCAGAATAAAAAGAGAGTTATAAAAAAAGATACGGAGATGTTTTTCACTCGTCATAGGAAATAATAAAACATCTTTTCAAAAATACAATTAAAGAATGCCTAAAAATGTCTTGAAATGCGGATAAAAAAAAATTCTGTCGACGAAAAACATGACAATAATGTTCCCAAATATCAGGTCGCCGGAGCACTCCAAGAACTGGAGGCTGTTGAAGAGGGTCTGTGAATAGTTTTACATTTTGCTGGGAGTCAGTGTACACGGGCGGAGAGACGGAAATAGGAACATATTTTTTCGTCATTAGAAAACAAAGATAACAAAAGGGACTGAAAGAAAAGAAAGGACAATGGATGTCATGAGGCAATTGAAACGTAAGGATTCCAAGCGGGTAGGAAGCAAAATTCTGCGAAATGAAGAAGCTAAATTTGGGCTTTATTTCTCTCGGCATTCTTTGTGCCTACATCTGCATTTTCGTTCTTACTTTCCTTTTTTTCTTTCTTTCTTTCTTTCTTTCTTTATTTATTTATTTATTTATTTGCTTATATCTATCTATGTATCTATCTATCTATATCAATATGTTCATGTCTGTCTGTCTGTCTGTCTATCTATCTATTTATTTATTCAGTCTGTTCATATCTATCTATCTATCTATCTATCTATCTATCTATCTATCTATCTATCTATCAGCATGTTCATATATATCTGTCTTTTCATATCTTCTCTATCTATCTATCTATCTATCTATCTATCAGCATGTTCATATATATCTGTCTTTTCATATCTATCTATCTATCAGCATGTTCATATATATCTGTCTTTTCATATCTTCTCCATCTATCTATCTATCTATCTATCTATCTATCTATCTATCTATCTCAGTCTCTGCATATCTCTCTATATATCTGTTGTCATATGAACATGACTGTTCGTATCTAACTATTTATCTATTTAACTATCGAGCTATTTGTCCGTCTGTTCGTCTCAGTCTGTCCATCTTTCTCTTCCTCTCTCTCTCTCTCTCTCTCTCTCTCTCTGTATATATATATATATATATATATATATATATATGTTCATCTTTTTCTATCTGTCTATCTCTGTCTCTATATATCTATTTGTCTCACTGCACATATCTATTTATCTATCTATCTCAATCTATTCATATCTATCTCTCTTTCTCCATCTGTATCTATCTATCTATCTATCTGTTGATATATATCTATTTATCTATCTATCTTAGTCTATTCATATCAATCTCTAATTCTCTATCTACCTATCTCAGTCTGTTCATATCTATCTATCTATCTCAGTCTGTTCATATCTATCTATCTATCTATCTATCTATCTATCTATCTATCTATCTATCATAGTCTGTTCATATCTATCTATCTATCTATCTATCTATCTATCTATCTATCTCAGTCTGTTCATATCTATCTATCCATCTATCTATCTCAGTCTGTTCATATCTATCTAATTCAATCCGTACAGCTTTATATAACTTTCCCTCTCTCTATCTCTCTATCTCTCTATCTATCTCAGTCTGTTCATATCTATTTATTTATCTATCTATCTATTTGTTCGTGTGACTGACTGCGCACATTATCTCTCTCACTCTCTCTCTCCATATATATATATATATATATATATATAGATACACCTAGTGAGCCTGACAAACCTACTTAGGTTTCACCTAAACGTATCGTCAGGGAAAGCTTGGCGGGTTTTTCGAAACGAGTCTAGTTATTTATATTTATATGTATATATATATATATATATATATATATATTGCATAATAATGTACGTAAGAATGAGATAAAAATTCCAAATAATTTTTATTTCATTTTGCGGAAGTGCTGTCTACCATTGATCCCATTCTGAAAGAAATTTAAAATGGATTTTATATCCGAAAACCTTCCAGGCCTCTCTTCACATATTAGACAAAATCAGACATGAAAGTACGTAATATCCCTTGCCATGTTCACAAAGGAGTTGAATTCAGAGCTGGTCTACTACAATTGTTTCACTATCAAGTCTAACAAGCTCAGTTGACCCTACTATTTTACATGGGTTTAGAAAAAGATACAATACTTATGAAGTAAACAGAATGTCTTCAAGCAGAATTTGAAATCTAATTGCTGATTCTATTTTCTCCGCCAACGACCGAAACGTCGTGAATATGTCAGTAAAGATGAGGACAAAAGTCAGATCCTGTAGAAGGCCGAAGCGTATAATGGCTGAAAATTCATAATTAGGACAATACAGATGAGGACAACAGTCCAAGCATTGTAAACAGTTTAAATAGTTACAAGATCTCATCTCATAAATATAGACAGATCCTGAAGAAAGCCGGGGCGTACAACGGATGAAACGTCGTGAATATGTCAATAAAGATGAGGACAACAGTCAGAACAATATACATAGAGTAAATAATTACAATACCCCATCTCATAAATATAGACAAAATATAGACAAATCCTGAAGAATGCCGGAGTTTACAATAGCCGAAACGTCGTTAATATGTCAATAAAAAAAGAGGACAACAGTCCGAACAATGTAAATAGAGTAAATAATTACAGTATCCCATCTCATAAATATAAACAGATCCGGAGTGTACAATGGCCGAAACGTCATAAATATGTCAATAAAGATGAGGACAACAGTCAGGGCATTGTAAATAGATCTCATCTCATATATATAGACAGATCCTGAAGAAGACGGAAGCGTATAATGGCCGAAACGTCATAAATATGACAATAAAGATGAAGACAACAGTCCGAGCATTATAACATTGTTTAAATAGTTATAAGACCTTATCTCAGAAATATAGACAGATCTTGAAGAATGCGAGAACGTACAAAGGCCGAAAAGTCATGAATATGGTAACTAAGACATCATTAGGACTTTGGTGATCGTGGCCCTCCACAATTTCCTGTCTTTTAATAAAGATTGTCCTTTTGCTATCGCTCCTAATCTCTTTTCTGTCTGCCATTTACAAAAGATTCTTCTTCTTTTATGAGCTGTGTTCCTTTTAGAACGTGGGTGATCACGGCTGTCCACAGTTTCCTATCCTTTGTATATATTAATAAAGTTAGTCTTTTTGTAATCGCTCCTAATATCTGCTCTATCAACCATTTACAAAAAGTATCTTCTTCTCCTTCTTTGATATGACGTGTCTCTTCACAACGTCTGTGATCATGGGTCTCCACAATTTCCTATAATTCCTAGCACAATAAATTTTATCTTTCTGCTATCAATCCTAATTTCTGTACTGTCAGCCATTTACAAAAACTTCTTAATATTCTTTTACTTTTTCCATATGCTGTTTCCTTCAAGATATGGGGATAATAGCTCTCCACAATTTCCTTGCTCTCTTACTGTTGCGAGAATTATTTATACAAAATCGCTTGGTAAATTATGTGTTGCATTCCTCTGTCCCTCTTGCCTTTCAATGTGTCTTGTAGGTGCCAAATTTTCTAAGCCCTCTTTCCTCCATGAGATCCCTAGAAATTTTCATTCTCACTCTTTCTGGTGTTAGTTATTGTCCATTTATTCAGTACATTATATACTCAGTATCTTTCTGCAGAATTCATATATATATATATATATATATATTAAGAAATGGACAAGGTCCGACAATTTATTTATTAAAGACATTTTTATGTTTAACGTTGTTATTTATAGATACAAGTATTTAAGCAAATGCTCTGTTTATGATAAACAGTATTAAATAACATTTACCATATGACGCCTGAATATCGCGAGAAATTTTCATAGAAAATATTCGTTCTTTGACAAGATTCGAACCTGCATCCTATACGGAACCGTCATATACGCTGACGTGCCTTACCTCTAGGCTACAAAAAGAACCTTACGGTAGATAAAGGTCCGAATTTACTGCTTATAAACTCTAATCTTCCAAAGAATCTCGTACATTCATAACTGCTCTGGCGTATCGAATGTAAACAAATGACGGCATATGTTAAGAAATGGACAAGTCATTTATTTATTTAACAAATCATAAACAGATTTATTCATTCATTTTATAGATTTGTCAAATATTTAAGGACGATCTATTTTTATGAAAACAGTATTGAAATAAGACAATTTTATTGTCCGACAGGATTCGATCTATAAATAAAAAAACAAAATGTTAAATATAAAATATGTCTATATATATATATATATATATATATATATGTGTGTGTGTGTATGTATGTATGACGTCACACATTATGAAATGGATAATGGCCGACAATTATCTTAAGACATTTTTATGTTTATACATTCATTTTATAGATACAAATATTTAAGTAAATGCTCTGTTTATACTAAACAGTATTAAATAAGATTTACCGGCCTGAATGTCAGAGTAATTTTCATAGAAAATATTCGTCCTCCGACAGGATTCGAACCTGTATCCTACAAGGAACCATCATATAGCCTGACGTGCTAAAATAAAAAGAATGTATAAACATAAAAATGTCTTAAAATAATTGTCGGACTTTGTCCATTTCATAATGTGTTACGTCATTTGTTTACATTTGGATACGACATGAGCAGATATGAATGTACGTGAGAGAATCATGGAAGATTGTAGTTTAAAGACAGTAAAATCGACCTTGCTAACCGAACGCTCCTCTGTGGCCCAATCGGTTAAATGCACGTCAGGCTATAGGACGGTTCGAATCCTGTCGGAGGACGAATATTTTCTCTGAAAATTGCTCGAACATTCAGGCCGGTAAAAGTTGTTTAATACTGTTTATTATAAACAAAGAATTTTTTTAAATAATTAAATATTTGTATCTATAAAAAATGTATAAACATAAAAATGTCTTAATATATATATATATATATATATATATATATATATATATATATATATATATATATATGAAAGGCTCAAACACTAATATTTCATGGTTATAATTTATCACATTGGAATCTTAATCACGATCCAATTCACCAGACCTGCCAATTCATACTCTGTCCTGGACATTGAGTTCTACTGGATTCTATCCTCTTGAAATTTATATATATATATATATATATATATATATATATATATATATATATATATATATATATATATAATAAACATAAAACATTAGGCAGCATATGATTTGCATACAAAGAATAATCACACATAGAATTAATCAGAAGTATTAATGCGATTATTGGCAACATCCATCGCTAGAAAACATAATATATGCATTAAAATCTTGTTCATCCATAGTGCGAGTTTTGATCCTTGACGAAAAACTTGTTGTCTATAGTTTTTCAGTTTATTTGATGTTAAAATGCTAGTACTTACGGATAGACTTCTATCCATCATCAGGCATTTTTTTTTTTCCTTATAAAATCAAAAACTTGAGACGATATACTTGTATGTCGACCGAAAGATGTTTTTTGAATATCTGCTATTATTGACGGTTGTGTACGATGATAACTATGGATGAACAGGATTTTAATGCATATATTATGTTTTCTAGCGATGGATGTCGCCAATAATCGCATTAATACTTCTGATTAATTCTGTGTGTGATTATTCTTTATATATAAAATTATATATCACGGTATATATATATATATATATATATGTATTAGCCACTGATATTATATATATATATATATATATAGGTCTGTGCTTCCGTCTGTTTCTGTGAACTAGGTCTGTGTTTCCGTCTTTTCGCAAGGATGTATTGCCCTACATCAAATTGAGTAATTTAGTATATGAGTTTAATTGCCAGTGTGCTGATGGTTATTTGGGGCGTACAACCTTGCATTTGGAAACTAGAATCAATCAGCATGTACCTTCCAAAATACGACTTGGTAAGATAGATAGAATATGCTATCTTCCCCCCATGAATATGGAATCGGCTATTGCTCAACATTTAGTTGAGAATATAGCCTGCACCAAGTCATATAAAAAAGAGTGATTTAAAATTATTCATACAGCCGATTCCAACAATCATTTGAAGATTTTGGAATCGGTCTGCCTAGAATTAAGGAAACCTTCTCTCTGCCGGCAGAAAGAATTTGTAAAGTCTCTTAATCTGTTGGGGGATATTTTATTTTAACTCTCCCTCGCTAATTTATTTACACGATTATTTCCCCTCCCCTCGTTACAAATATATACACTTGTTGGTATTTTAATGTGTTCCCCCCCCCATTTTTGCTCTTCATTGTCGTTAATATTCTTTTCGTTGATCCAACGATTGTCTCCTGATGAGACGTTGGCTGAAGGGCCCTAGAGACTTTTAAAATTAAAATCAATACAGTCCTTGTTTTTAAAACTATATATAAATTTTGTACCTCCAAACATTTGTTTATATATATATATATATATATATATATATATATATATATATATAATATTGTACATATATACATATATGTGTTATTTTTTATTTATTTTGCTTAAACTTTATCTTTGATGAATACTCATATTCGAGTATAAGATCTGTTTTTTAATTAGACAGTATTTTTTTCATCCAACTATCCGAGAAATCTTACTTAACATCTCCTGAAGAAGTACATTTAAGGTATTGAAACATGAAAGCATTTGTGTAGCTATTTCAACATGTTTTTAAATAATTATATTGAACTTTTCGGCTCTTGTTTTGAAACATGAGACTTCTTATATAGCGATTTGGAATCATATTTTTAAATAAATAATTATATTTATGCTCTACTTTTGTATCGAGCACTATTTTTTTAAAAATAATAACTAAAATACTAAGGGACTTTGGATTATTTACCTAAACAGTTCCTTCCTATTTTATATATATATATATATATATATATATATATATATTATAGTATAGTATAGTATATTATATAATATATATATATAAACGTCTCTATCATCTATACTATATATATAGAGAGAGAGAGAGAAAGAAAGTAAGTTACAGGTAATAGATTCCTTTGTACATAATCCCGTTGGATCCTAATAATATTAGATATTAAAACTGATGCCCAGAGAGAGGTCAATGCATTTATTATAACTGGACATATTTTACACACCAAAAAATCCCAAATTACCTCATGTGGTGATAGTCTACTTCAGACCAGCACTGACATATGTCAGGTCTTCCCCACCCCTAGACTGACTGTCTCGGAATGGGAGTTTTGAATTTATTTTAGATTGCAGTCGGTGAAAAGGGGACGCCTCGTTTTGATATATATATATATATATATATATATATATATATATATATAAAATATAAATTTTGAAGAGTCTATAAAATTAACATTTATCGTCCATACATCTAACTTTTAAATAATAAAACTTATTTCATTGAATTTTTTGTTTTGGTCTTCAGTTATCCAATATCTTTTCTGATATATGGAAATGTATCTATCATATTCTGCCACACATATCTGTGTAGACAAACAACGTAAGTGTCGCCATATTTTATATATGAGTTAGATTGCAATCTAATGTCGGTTTGTGCGTTAAAGTGACAAATGTCGACATAGGCAAATCGAAATCTTGGCTTGAATATATAAATGTAATCATGAGATTGCATGAATATTTATAATGATCAACTCGTTCCAATCTTGATTCGTTTATACCTGTTATTGTGATGCAAAAACGACTCCGTCAAAAAATAAAAGAAAATAAAAAAAGATATATGCTCGTTTTCCCGCCTTCTTTTCAGCCATTAGTTCAACAACATTTTTGCGTTCTTATTTCTTGGATCAAGTTTATTCGTATAAAGATCTGCCAATAGCAAAACAAGTACATTTCCATCATATTTTTTTCTGTGTTCGTAATTTTTTTTGTATCTGTACTTTACGACAAAAAAAAAATGGCGTAGAAGTAGAACGGCTCATTAAAAGAATTTTATTCCTACTCATTCCTTTCAAATTGTAAATTATCTCCCCTTTTTTATATTTGTTTCTCGGTTTGAAAAAATAAAACAAATAAAGATTTATTATTTATTTTTACTAATGTTCCCAAATACAAGGCCAAAGAGCCACTCAAAGTAGATGCTTACTGTGTGCTGCTGTATGAGTGTAAAAATGACGAGAAGTAAACGTATTATGGCTATGCAGGAAATAAAATGGCTAACTCTATTTTTGAACAGGTCAAGATTTAAATAATGAATAAAATTTCAAAGTCGGAGACGTTAAAAGTAATAGTGTGGAAGTAGACTAGTCGATAAAAGTATAGAGTTCAATTAGACTTTAGAACGAACCGGAAACCGAATCCTAAACAGGAAACGAGGGATAAACCTCTACTCCTGTTCAAAAAACCTATCTACTCCTACTGAAGGAAGAAAACAAATAAATAACATTTCAGAGTTTAAGCGGAGACGTTACAAGTATATAGTTGATGTAGACTTTAGAAGGAAACTGAAACCCGATCCTAAACAGGAAACAAGGGATAAACCTCTACTCCTGTTCAAAGTAACAGGCGGGAGTGTGAACCGGATGATAGACGAACCTATCTACTCCTGTTGAGAGAGAAGGAAAAATAGTAATAATAACAATTACTGTTGTAAACTAGTATTTTGACTTGATATCATACTAGTTTTCATAACCTGTGAAAATGTTAAAAATTGATTAAGAGGAGATAAAGAAAATTTGGCTCCACAAAACAGGTCATATTCCATAGCTCTCCACAACTTCCACTCCCTTGTAGCTCTAAATAAATTGTGTCTTTCTGTTATTTCGCCTAAACCCTGTTCCGCAAATCCATTTACTCATGCTTACCAAATATGTTATGCGATGTTTAGTGAATGCCGGACAATCGTGGCAGAAATGTAGTTCTACAGGAGGATACTAAGAATTTTATGGACGGAGACAGTAAGCCACAAGGGAGTCCTATTGTAAATGACAACAGAAAAAATATTTCCACTTAGAATCAAGAAAAAACGGTTGAGATTTTTCTGAAATATAATGAGTTAGGGGAGGGCGCTTGAAAAAAGTAACTGTCACGGAGCATATTGGGGCCAAGAATTACAGGAGGCGTTAACGAGATACTTATCTGACAAGCTCGTGTGGATGGATGGCGAAAGTGGGGCGAGGGCTTTAGAAACGGAAGAAGAACTGCTAAGAGACACACGAGAAGGGAAGTTATGGTGAACCACGATTGCCTATGTCCTGAAGGGACGTGGCATATAGAAGAAGAAGAAAGAAGAAGAAGAAAGAAGAAAAAAAGAAGAAGAAAGAAAGAAAAAGAAGAAGAACGAAGAAGAATGAAAAGAAAGAAGAAGAATAAGATGAAGGAAGAAGAAAAAGAAAGAAGGAGGAGGAAGAAAGAAGATGAAGAAAAAGAAAAAGGAAGAAAAAAGAAGGAGGAGGAGGAAGAAGAAAGAAGAAGATGAACAAAGAAGAAGAAGAAAGAAAAAGGAAGAAGGATAAAAAGAAAGAAGAAGAAAAAGGAAGATAAAGAAGGAGCAATAAAGAAGATGAAGAAAAAAGAAGGAGGAGGAGGAAGAAGAAAGAAGAAGATGAACAAAGAAGAAGAAAGAAGAAGGAAGAAGAAATAAAAGAAAGAAGAAGATGAAGGAACAAGAAGGAGAAGAAAAAAGAAGAAAAAGAGGAAGAAAGAAGATGAAGAAAAAAGAAGAAGAAGAGGAAGAAAGCAGAGGAGGAACAAAGAAGAAGAAGAAGAAGAAGAAAGAAGAAGGAAGAAGAAGAAAAAGAAAGAAGAAGAAAAAAGAAGATGAAGGAAGAAGAAAGAAGAAAACGAAAAGGGAAGAAAAAGAAAAGGAAAGAAAAAGAAGAAAGTAGAAGATGAAGGAAGAAGAATAAGAAAAAAGAAGAATAAAAAGAAAGAAAGAAAGAAAGAAAGAAGAATAAGAGGAAGACCTCTAACTGATGATTTCTTATAATTGAATGAGGTCTTCCTCTTGGTTCATTTCTAAAGCTCTCAGCTCTAGAGCGAAGTCTATCAAACGATCATTGTATCGTCGTCGTCATTGCTGAGTATTGGGTTGCTTATCAACATTTCCATCCTATGTTGGATCTGAAGAGGCGACCGCAGTCACCGCATTGTAAGGTAGGAGTGTTCATGGAATGGAAAGCGCTTCATCTCTTCTCTATTGGTCTTCTGGTGTTTTCGAAGGATGTTGTTTTACCGTGGACTTCTCTTCCCTATTTGTTTCTTTCTACAACTTCCGTCTCCCAATTGACTGCATCGATTTCTGTGCTCATCAAGGTGTTTGGGAGCTGATCCTGGAATCGACGACGTGGAGCTCCACATGGTCCTTTGCCAAAGGTGAGCACTGTGAAGAGCAATTGTTTTCGTAGGCGGATGTCTAACATTCGTGCAAGGTGTCCGGCCTATCGAAGTTGGTGGCGAATCGTGATGAGTTATAGGCTCTCCGTCTTTCCGCGGAGAAGAACTTCATTGTTGGCGATCAGGTCCGGCCCTGATCATCTCTCTTTTGGTCTAACATTAACGTCCAAATGACAGGCTGGTGCTTCATCAAACCTTTAGCGGCAGTATGGTCAAAATTGAACTCATATAATGGAAAGTTTCAGCATGTGATGGGTAAATTGTCGCCATAATATGGTTTTAATTTCACGCATGCGCGTTATTTCTTCTTGATTTTATCGACTACACAGTATAGTAGGGTTTTCTTGGACACCGTCTGTGAGAAAAAGAGCACCCTGGTGCAATTCACTCCGCCAGAAATTTTGAAAAGGTCATACTGTACTGCTTGGCTCCAATACGAACATTTCAGAATGTTTGGTTGTCAATCTGAGGACGGTACAGAGGATTCAGAAAGATTTGGATGATTCTAATGGCGATTACGAAGGTGCAACAGTTCGGAAAACCCACTCTGATCGTTCTGATAAGAAAAGAACTCTTGAATTTGTTGGTGAAGGTCTCATACATAACACGCAGGCCTTCATCAAGTGCCTTGAGGAGTTAGTGCTGCCCTGGGTCGAGAGGGTGGCTGATGGAAGACGCTAGGTCTGACAAAAGGATTTTGCACCATTCCACACAAGCTGGGGTACCTAGACATGGCTGTAAAACAATTTCTGCAACCACATCACCACCTACATCTGGCCACCTAATTCCCCAGCCTGCAACCCCCTTGATTATTATGTGTGGGGCGCAATTGTGCGAGAGACCAAAAAAACTCTTTGTAGCACCAAAGATGAAGTAAAGGCAAGGATTATGGCAGCATTCAACAGATCAAACAAGGAGACCGTCTAGAAGAGTTGCAGCCGATTCCGAAGTCGTCTAGAGGCTATGGTTGAAGCCAATGGCGATTTTATTGAATAAGTTTGCTCTTTAGTATTTCAAGACATTTTTGTGTAATTTTGGTAAACATATATGTGCATTTTGGCGCCATTTAGACGACAATTTAACATTTTCACCCTGTATATCTGTTAAAATGAGGAGAGTTTTATTTTCATTTTGGAGTCATTTAAATGACAATTTATCCATCGCACCCTGTATATCTGTTAAAATGAGCTGTCAGTGTTATTTTCATTTTGGCTTCATTTATACGACAATTTATCCATCGCACCCTGCGTATCTGTTAAAATGAGTGTTATTTTCATTCTGGTGTCATTTAGACGACAATTTATCCATCGCACCCTGTATATCTGTTAAAATGAGATACCAGTGATTTTCATTTTCGCTTCATTTAGACGACAATTTATTCATCGCATCCTGTATATCTGTTAAATTGAAATGCCAGCGTTATTTACATTTTCGCTTCATTTATACGACAATTTATCCATCGCAACCTGTATATCTTAAAATGAGATGTCAGTGTTATTTTCATTTTGGTGTCACTTAGACGACAATTTATCCATCGCACCCTGCATATCTGTTAAAATGAGATACCAGTGTTATTTTCATTTTGGCATCATTTAGACGACAATTTATCCATCGCACCCTGCATTTCTGTTAAAATGAGGCCAGTGTTTTCATTTTGGCATCATTTATACGACAATTTATCCATCGCATCCTGCATTTCTGTTAAAATGAGATGCCAGTGTTATTTTCATTTTAGCGTCATTTAGACGACAATTTATCCATCGCACCTGCCATATAATATGGGCATTGTTTGATCAATTTCAGGGGCCCACGAATAATGTTTTTCTCCGGAAACAGTCCTCTGAAAGCAAAACAGGCTGATATTGGTGAGAAATTAACGTTAAAATAGCGATTTACGCCAATAAATATTTGTTAATTTTTGTGAAAAGACAGCAAATAAAAATTAGATTTAATTGAGAAATATCAATTAAAATTTCATGACCATGGCTGCTCCACCTTTTGAACAGAAAACTTTCAAATGTTCCTACCTGTATTGTCTTGGATCAGATTTGAACTATCTATATTCACTTGTCTGTCTCTTTTTTTTAATTCTTCAGGCATACATGTCAAAATTTCGTTGTAGCACTGACAGCTGTTTTCGCGCTTAAAAGAAAAGAGTTCTGGATTGCTATGTGATATCCTCTTCTTATATGACACTGAATGTTGGACAACCTGCCTACGGATGAGGCAAAAACTGGAAGCCACAGAAACATGGTTCTACGTAAAGACAGTGAGAACTCCATGGATGGATCGAGTAGCCAAGAAGGAAGTATTAAAGAAAATGACAATATAAAAAAGAAAAGAAAAATACGCAGGATCCCTTAAAGACAGTTGACATTACTTTTTGAGTAAAGGGGGCTAGGAAAACCTGTCAAAGAACATACTGAGATGAAGAGATATAGGAGGAATCACAGAGATACGTACTTGATTATCTTGATGGTGGAACTTGGGGACGAGAACCTTACAAACGGGAAAACTAAGAAGTGACAGACAAGATAGGAAATTGTGGTGAGCCATGATCGCTTATATCCTGAAGAGATGCGGCATATATGCTGTCACGCTATATTAAAAAAACAAGAATTGAAAAAGATATTGTGATATTAACATCAAACAAGATACATTGTGTTGGAATAATGAAGTGTAATACCGGGTGTAACAGCAAAATTGTCCAAATCTTTTAACAACATTGGGATAATTATCCACCCCAACAATATGTTTAATATCTGAAAAACCAATAATCGAATTCAGTGTCTTTTTTCTACGCTTTCAGATAAGACGCTTGGCCATCTTGACACCACTTCTCGGAAGAATCCATGCAAAACCTTTTGAGTTATTCAGTTAGAAAGAGAAGAGGTTAAAATGGTTTTGTTTACGCACCACTGTCTTCCCAACTGAGCAATGGTGTGAGGAAAAAGATTATTCAGGTCTTCAGTAATTGTACCAACATTCATACCCTGGCTTCCATCTTCAAAGTCCATTCAAGAACCATCAAGAGAAGGGTGAATAAGTTTAAAAAAAGGGGGAACAGTAGAGAAGAAAACTGTATCAGGAGGTCACAACAAGAAGAGGGGTCATCATTTAAACTTAGAGCTAAATACATTCTTATTGTTCAAAGTAGAATCTTAAAAACCTCGGAGTATTCCAGTAAGATATATTTAATCATTTCTAAGATACAACGCCTCAAGGCATAATCATAACAATTGGACAATTTGGCTGTTACACGATTTGGACAATTTTGCTGTTACACCCGGTAGTAATATTGAATAAATTGTGATCGACATTTTTTGAAGGAAACAGAACGGGAGATGGAAATTATTAAAAAAAATCATTTGAGGGGTGTGGTAACAACCACCATGGTTTTCTTGCTGCCATTAAAACATAAGGAAAGTTTTTCGTTTAAGAACGTCAAAAATACAGAATAAAAATCAAAGATGGAAGCAACAAGACAAAAAACAAAAGAAACTTTCTTTTTCGAGATGTAATTATCGGAACAGGAAATCGGCAAGCTAAGATCGAATCCCAGCCGAAATTCGTCCCATCCACTTTCATGTAAATGATCTTCGAAAAGATATCAGTCCATCCTTTCACGCCCCAGCTATAGGTTAAATATCAACGCAAACTTGTCTCACTAACCCTATTCGACAACCAGCCTCGGAAAAGAAACCGTATTTAGCCCTGATTTAGCGTACAGTCTGCAATCATTGATAAGATTATGAATTTCACAATGACTCTCTAATATCGACCAATGTCTACGGCCATGTTGATTAATCCTTGGAGAACGTTAATGATCATGGCCCTGTACAACTTCCTATGTTTTATTGCTCATTGTCCTCTTTTTGTGAGGACTTCGTTCAAACTCTTCGAGTCGTTTACTTTTGTTTCTCTTGCCCTTGACATGAGGAAAGAAGCCCTAGACACACAAAAGTATCAATTTCTCCAAGCATCCTGTCCTCATTACATGTTCCGGAAATTTCCGCTGCCTGTTTGCCAATGCAAGAATCAGGTTCCGTTTTAGAACTTTATACTGTACAAGACGTTTTGAAGAATACATCAAGAAATATTATCATAAAAACAACACAGAAGGAAGCTATAGTCCCAAAATATAAAAAATACTGAGAATGCTTTTGAATTTCAGCAAAAAGGTCGAAGAATTTAACAGTTGAAACTTTATGTTAAAAACAATAATAATAAATATCTGTCTATATCTCTGAGATGTGGTATTATGATCACTTGCATTATTTACATCAGTATGTGGGCTAGGCCAGAAAAATCGCTTAAGCCGATCAAGAAATGAGCACTGGTAAAAAAAATGAGTGCTGAGATATTAGGCTTATAAGTCACCAAAATTCATGTATGCATAAAGACGCTGGTTAGATCCAGTGACCAGACCCAAAGAGTTGTGAGTTCAATACCAGGTCAAAAACTTGGAGAGTTGAGTTGAAGGAAAATAACTGAAGATGTATGGCACGTGGAACTAGAACAATCTATACCGTTGGACGAAATAACAGGTTCGGTTCGAAATTTGAATTACCTGAAGAAGGCCAGAGCGTACAACGGCCGAAACATTGTGAATATGAAAATGAATATGAGGATAAAAGTCCGAATAATGTAAATAATGCAAGTAATCATAATACCTCATCTCAGAGATATAGACAGATATATAGAGAGACATAGATATAAAGGCCGAAGCGTAAAACGACCGAAACGTTTTGAATATGGCTATGAAGATGAGGATAACAGTACGAATAATGTAAATAATGCAAGTAATCATAATACCTCATCTCAGAGATACAGACAGATATATAGAGAGACATAGACATAAAGGCCGGAGCGTACAACGGCCGAAACGTTGTGAATATGGCAATGATGATGAGGATAACAGTCCGAATAATGTAAATAATGCAAGTAATCATAATACCTCATCTCAGAGATATAGACAGATATATAGAGATACGTAGACATTAAGGCCGGAGCGTACAACGGCCGAAACGTTGTGAATATGGCAAATATAAATAATCGCTTAGGATGTCTCAGTTATTTCCCTTTAACTCAACACTCCACATTTTTTGGTTCACCACTGCTGTAACCTGGTATTGAACTCACAACTCTTTGGGTCTAGTCACTGGATTTAACCAACTCCTTTATCCACTGGGTCATGTGCCAAGTTTTCACTACAGCAGTGGTGAACCAAAAAGCTTGTAGAATTGAGTTAAAAGCTTTTAATAACTGAGACACCCAGAAGAGGCATGGCACGTGAAACTAGAACAATTTACTCCGGCGGACGAAAGAAAGAAGTTAGGTTCGAAATTCCAATCACCTGAAGAAGGTCGGAGCATACAACAGCAGCATTGAATATGTCAATGAAGATTACAGTCCGAATAATGCAATAATAATCATTAAAGCAGTCGCTCCAGAATATACATTTTTTGAATATTATTAATCTATCGCTCGTCGGTCTTTTGGCTGAGTTTATTGCCCGGCGCCCGAGGTGTCCAAGAATGCGTAAGTGCTATGTGGGCTGGGGCTTGAGTATTTATTATTCCACGGTATTGCCGTTAAACTCATTTTAAACTGACCTTGTGTCACATTCGGTAGAGATGTGAACGCACTGAAAAGTACCGTTATTGATTGTATTAGCATTACCAAGAAACACATCTCTTGGAAACCATTTCTTCCTCGTTATTCTAAAAGTACCTGACGCCGAAATGAAAACAAAAGTGTAAAGTCGAAGCAAATGAATTCTTTGCAATACTTTTTTTTTCTGCTGATATGAAAATGTATATTGAATCAAATGCCACGTCTGTAGATAAGAAATTTGGTTCACTTTGGTGTGCTAGGCAATTTTTCTCTTCAGAATGTATTTTACATATTTATATGTCTAGCATTCGTAATTCCTTTGAATATTGCTGCCACATCTGATCTGGTGCACCTGCTATATATTTAGAAATTCTTGATAAAATTCAAAGAAGAATCTGCAATGTTATTACTCCTGACCTGGCATATAAGCTTCAGTCACTTTCCCACCGCAATAACTTAACTTCCATGTGCCTTTTCTATAAACACTTTCATGCAAATCGTTCTAAAGAACTTACCTCGATTGTTAGTTTTATCATTGTAAATATTCATTCAGCGGGGTTTCATTTTTTAAAATTATTATTTTTATTTAAAAGTCATTATTTTTATCCCCCCGCGGACCAATTGTTCATAAACAGACTAGTTAGGACCTCATAGAGACTCTGAGGTATTATGGGGACTGAATTAAGAATGCGTTGTTTTGGTGTAAGGAATACTGTGATATGTTTGGGTCAGTAATTGTGGCTAGATAAATTTAAGATAAGACGGATTGAAGACCAGTTTTCCCTTATCCCCACTTTTGCCGTTGTGTCACATTTTTTTTTTTTATATTATATCAAAATATTACTTTCCTTTAGGGTTATATTTATTCACCACCCCTCATACAAATTGTACATATAGAAACTAGTTAGGATTTCAAAGAGACTCTGGTGCATTACGGTGGCTGTAGTAAGAATGTTAAGTACGAATATGTTGTTTTAGTGTGAGGAATACTGTCGTATATTTGCGTCAGTAATTGTGGTTAGCTAAGTTTAAGACAGATTGAAGACCAGCTTTCCTTTATCACCCTTTTGACCTTGTGCCAGATTTTTTGTATTCTCAAAATAAAAATTACTTTGCTATATGTTATCTAGACTTGAATTTAAATTCAGCACTACATTGGCAGGAAGTTATCGTCATTTTACAGTTGAAAAGGCAAGAGATGTAACCGTAAGTTCTATACTAACAGTTTCTTCTATTGTACTTCTTGCTTCTGGAACTCTCTTCTGGCTTCTTTTTTCACAGTCAACTTTGATTTTTCAAAATTTAAATTGAATCGTTATCTTCTGTCGTCTTAATTCTTGTTCTTTTATTATCCGCTCTCCTTAAAAGTATTCTTCTCATTCTCTACACTCAGTAGCCACTTGCTATCCTAGTGGCTTTATTGCCTTGCTTGGGGTGAAATGATCAAAAAATCTATCCCATTATGTTCCTATTAATAGCGATCTGTTTACTTTCTATATAAATCTGTTTTATCTATATATCTATTTATCTATCTATCTATCTATCTATCTCGGTCTTTACGTATCTATCTATCTATCTATTTATCTGTTATAGGATCTTACCAATAATAATAATAATGGACTATTCCATACTTAATAAATACTGCGCCTCAGGAGTAGGCAAGGAGTCAGTAGTTCAAGTCGAGTCAAGAGTCGAGTCAGAGGCAGTCCGAAACAGAGTCGCGTTCAGACAATTACTGCAAGACATTGGAATAGTGATACTGGTCGAGACTACATTGTTCTCTCTACTAAATCTGATTGTTCATACTAACACTTTTACTTCTCTGTATATATTCCTGTTTGTAATATATCTGTGTTATTCTATATCCGTGTTCGAGTTCTTCTTTATTGGTTCTACCTTGGACTATCACCGTGGAACAAGGAACCGGACCATAACACTATCACCATGTGATCATTATCTATCTATCTGTTGAGGGGTTTTCCCCTTTTTACACAAATAGACTCACCCAGTATATACATATACTACTGCTATGTGAAGACTAGAGTAAGACGAGGGCAACAGAGGCTGAAGGTAACAGACAGACAGAACGAACGTAGCCAGCAAGAGTCACAGTGAGCGAGCACGTAGACTCAGTAAGAAGTCATACAGCGATACTTCAATACCAAAGACTGTATAAATATTTTGTTACTAACCCGTATTCCTGGAACTACTAACCTGCATTACCAGTTTGTATTATTACGTTAATACAATTATTTTCATATATTCATTCTTGGCGTTTGTTATTTATTGGTACCGAATTTCATCCCGGAATCCACATCACTATCTATCTATCTATCTATCTATCTATCTATCTATCTATCTATCTATCTATCTATCTATCTATCTATCTCAGTCGGTTCTTTATCTATACATCTTAGTCTGTTCATATAACTCGAATCTATCTATCTATCTATCTTCATTATCCATCTGCCTATCTCAGTCTTTTCATATCTATCTATCTCAGTCGGTTCTTTATCTATCCATCTTAATCTGTCCATATATCTATCTATCTATCTATCTATCTATCTATCTATCTATCTATCTATCACAATATCTTCATTATCTATCTGCCTATCACAGTCTTTTCATATCTATCTATCTATCTATCTATCTATCTATCTATCTATCTCAATCTCTTCATATCTATCTATCTATCTATCTATCTATCTATCCCAGTCTGTTCGTATCTATCTATCTATCTCTATCTATCTATCTATCTATATCTATCTCAATCTCCCATATCTATCTATCTATCTATCTATCTATCTATCTATCTATCTATCTATCTCAATCTCTTCATATCTATCTATCTATCTATCTATCTATCTATCTATCTATCTATCTATCTCAATCTCTTCATATCTATCTATCTATCTATCTATCTATCTATCTATCTATCTATCTATCTATCTATCTATCTTATATCATTGTTTCTTTCTTGCCACTCGTGTAATTCTCTTCCGACTTCATTTCTCCAGTCATCTTTGATGTTCAAAGATTAAAATCCAATGTCAATCGTTATGGTGTGTCTTCGTAATATTTGTCCTTTTAATATCTTCTCTCCTGAATAGTATATTTTCTCATATTCTCTACTAAGCGTTAGTGGATTTATTGCCTTGCTTGGAGTGAAATGATTAATATATATATATATATATATATATATATATATATATATATATATATATATATATATATAAGCATGCTACGCATGCGCGTAGATAAATCACTGGTTGCTTTGACAGAAGCGTGCGTGTCCTGTCATACGACTGAGAGATAAGACAAAGCCCGGGAAAAGAAGGTGATAGGCCCAGGGAACTGGGTTCTATTGTTAAGAGTCGGTGGATGAAGTTTATGGCGGCACATGGGTGATATTTTCTTTTGAAATTCAATTATTTTAATGAGATTTAGTATAAACTGTCTGGGGATGTGACACACTTGCCATTGATTGTCGACTTTCTTTCTGTGTTGACTTTGCATTGTTTCCTTCTTGTTTTCTTTCTTTTTTTTCTTTCTTTCTTACACGTTAACAAACACATCTCAAAAAATATTTCTTTTTCCATTTCTGTAGCCTCTTGAATTCACTCTTAAATTTCATTTTGCATTCGTCTCCTTTGTTTCTTTCTCAAATGTTGTCATAATCATCTCAAACTTATTCGTCTTTTTCGGTCTTTTCTCTATTTATTTATTTCCTTCATTTTCCTTTTGTTTTGTTTTTCATTCTCTTTTTTTAATGTTCGTCTCAAATTTCTTTCAGTTTTTCATTCATTTGCTTTTAAAGTTTTCTTTTCCATTTTTTTTTTTCTTTTTTTCTATCTTTTCTTTCTTTAGATCTTTATTTCCAGTTTTCTTTTTCTTTTCTTTCCTTTCTAGTCTTTCATTCTAAAACGCAGTCACCCATTATTTCTCTGTATAATTCGTTTATTTAATTTTCTTCTATTTTTTCGTTCTCTTTTTCTTTCTCTTCTTTCTTCTTTCAGTTTTTCTTTTTCTTCTTTATTCTTCCTTAATTTTTCTTTTTCTTTTTTCTCTTTATTCTTTCTTTTTATTTCTCTTCATTTTTTTCTCTTTTTCTTTCTCTTCTTTATTCTTCGTTCATTTTTCCTCTTCTTTTTTCTCGTTTTCTTTCTCTTCATCATTCTTTCTCTTTTTCTTTCTCTTCTTTATTCTTGTTTATTTTTCTTTTTCTTTCTTTCTTTTTTCTTTGTCTTCTTTATTCTTTCATTTTTTTCTTTCTCGTCTTCATTCTTCCTTAATGTTTCTTTTTCTTTCTTTCACCTTTTCTTTCTCTTCATTATTCTTCCTTAATTTTTCTTTCTCTTCTTTACCCTCCTCTTTCTCTTCTTTATTCTTTTACTTTTTCTTTCTCTTCTTTACCCTCCTCTTTCTCTTTCTCTTCTTTATTCTTTTACTTTTTCTTTCTCTTCTTTACCCTCCTCTTTCTCTTTCTCTTCTTTATTCTTTTACTTTTTCTTTCTCTTCTTTCTCCTCCTCTTTCTCTTTCTCTTCTTTATTCTTTTACTTTTTCTTTCTCTTCTTTCTCCTCCTCTTTCTCTTTCTCTTCTTTATTCTTTTACTTTTTCTTTCTCTTCTTTACCCTCCTCTTTCTCTTTCTCTTCTTTATTCTTTTACTTTTTCTTTCTCTTCTTTAACCTCCTCTTTCTCTTTCTCTTCTTTATTCTTTTACTTTTTCTTTCTCTTCTTTCTCCTCCTCTTTCTCTTTCTCTTCTTTATTCTGCCTCTTTTTCTTTGAGTTGTTTGGTCAGGGTTTCTCTCCATTTGGATCGTATGGCTCCTAGTCTCCCCCAGGTCTCTGTGTTGATGTCCACATCTTTCATGTTGCGCCTGACGACATCGAGGTACCACAGATGTGGCCACCCGGTGGCTCTGCTTCTAGAGGCCAGCTCTCCATTCACCAGGTCTTTGGGGAAGCGGCCGTCTGGGGTGCAGTGGACGTGGCCAAACCAACTGAATCTGCGCTGTCTGAGTAGTGTGAACATAATTGGCAGACCTGCTCGAGACTAGACCATGTGCACCTTGTGCTGCCACGCAATTACCATCTCTGGGTACTTAGAAAAACCATCTATTATTACCAAATAGTACCAGCCATTCTATGGTGCTGCATAATCCAAATGTAACCTGGACCATGGCTTTTTTTGTTTTGGGACAAGTTTGAATTTTTACTGATGGCGATTTAGCTGTCAATACACAACCTTGGCAAGAATTTAATAGATCTTCAACATCCTGATCCATGCTCTTCCATTATGCGTAACTGCGAGATATCATAGGGTGTCCATTGTGGAACTATTTCAATATTTGTTTTTGGAATGTCTCTGGTATTACTACCCCTTCTCTATTCATTAAACATCCGTCATATATAGAAAATGATTTTTCCTTACCACCAAACTTTTTAATTCATTTGCTTTTTCCCTTTTTACCACTCGTCAGATATTCGCTCATTTTTATAATACTGTCGTCTTTCTGGGATTCACTCTTAACATTCTCTTTCGTAATTGATAACGCACTTATTTTAGCCCAGATTATATTTTATTTCTTCCTCGGCTTTTATCGAGGCAATGACGGTATCTTCAAGTAAACCCTTACACTTGGGTATTAATCTCGACAGGCTATCTGTTTGTCCCATTCCTTTAGATGGCAAATATTGAAATCATATCCTAGCAATATCGTAGCCCATCGTTATAAGTTGTTTACCGAATGTACGGAAATGCCTTTCGAGCAGAATATTTCCAAAAGTGTTTTATAATCAGATTGTAGTAGAAAAGTTTCTGCCGTATAACATTCTGTGGAATTTTTTATTGCAAACGTTGCCAAATTTTTATTTATCAATTTGGCTATAAATTCTTTCCACCGGTAACAAAGTTCTTGATACAAGAGTAACAGCAGCTATTATTTTCTTTCTTTTTTTTTTTTTTTTTTTTTTTGGTTTATTACGTCCTTTATTTTGTGTAATAATACAGCTTCAATACCATATTCACGAACATAAGCAGCAACTGTTATTTCCAACGAAGCGTTAAAATGCGTCATCGCAAACTCAGGAGTTAGAATTTTTTAATTTTTTTTCAAATGATTTCTGGTAGTCAGCAAAACAATTCCATTGTTCATCTTTGTTTAGTAGCCCATTCAATGGAGCTCTCAGTTCATGCCTTTTCGATATATACCGATTACAATAATTCACTTTTCTTAAAAATGATTGTAATATAAAAATGTTTGAATGAGCCGGCATATACTTTATCACCCTTATTTTTTCAGGATCCGGTCTACGACCATTTTTATGAATAATTTGGCCTAAATATTTATTTTGTGACATAGATAATTCGAATTTGTCTCTAGCCAGTTAAAAACCAAACTGTCTTATCCGTTCGAACTCTTCTACGACATGGCACCTTTGTTCCTCTGCCATTTTTCTTCGAATTCTTTCATCCACTGAAAAATCGATCCGGTCAGTATACTATTTATAATTTGCTAGAAAATTGCCGGAGCGATTTTTACACCAAACGATAGTCGATTAAACTGAAATAAACCTTTATGCGTAATAATAGTAAGAAATACCATACTTTTACCTCGTCCTGAGTAAGACGATAAACTACATCCGCGTCCTGGGGAAGACGATAAACTACTTCCGCGTCCTGGGGAAGACGATAATCTACATCCGCGTCCTGGGTAAGACGTTAAACTACATCCGCGTCGGGAGGTTTTGAGGAGCATGGAACCACCTCTTAATTGCTGATGTTCCCAGGTCCACCCTGACCCGTAGCGGTAGCACCTGTTAGGGTCCCAACTATGGGCAAATAGTTAACTATTACCAGCAATAGTTTTTTGAAAAAAATTGTTAACAGCAATAAAATTTTGAAGGAAATATATTACAAGAAAAAGATTTTTGACAAAACAAAATATTACCAGCAATAAAAATTTTTGTCAGCATTAAATAGCCCATTGAGGTTGATATGCCGTAAAACAAAATAAACCAAACAAATCTAAACCAAAGAATACATTCTCTATTCATAGGAATTTATCCTTAAAATGTTATCGGCATTAAATAACCCACTGAGGTTGATATGCCGTAAAACAAAATAAACCAAACCAATCTAAACCAAAGAATACATTCTCTATTCATAGGAATTTATCCTTAAAATGTTATCGGCATTAAATAACCCACTGAGGTTGATATGCCGTAAAACAAAATAAACCAAACCAATCTAAACCAAAGAATACATTCTCTATTCATAGGAATTTATCCTTAAAATGTTATCGGCATTAAATAACCCATTGAGGTTGATATGCCGTAAAACAAAATAAACCAAACCAATCTAAACCAAAGAATACATTCTCTATTCATAGGAATTTATCCTTAAAATGTTATCGGCATTAAATAATCCCATTGAGGTTGATATGCCATAAAACAAAATAAACCAAACCAATCTAAACCAAAGAATACATTCTCTATTCATAGGAATTTATCCTAAAAATGTTATCGGCATTAAATAACCCATTGAGGTTGATATGCCATAAAACAAAATAAACCAAACCAATCTAAACCAAAGAATACATATTCTATTCATACGAATTTATCCTAAAAATGTTATCGGCATTAAATAACCCATTGAGGTTGATATGCCGTAAAACAAAATAAACCAAACCAATCTAAACCAAAGAATACATATTCTATTCATACGAATTTATCCTAAAAATGTTATCGGCATTAAATAACCCATTGAGGTTGATATGCCGTAAAACAAAATAAACCAAACCAATCTAAACCAAAGAATACATTTCTATTCATACGAATTATCCTAAAAATGTTATCGGCATTAAATAACCCATTGAGGTTGATATGCCGTAAAACAAAATAAACCAAACCAATCTAAACCAAAGAATACATATTCTATTCATACGAATTTATCCTAAAAATGTTATCGGCATTAAATAACCCATTGAGGTTGATATGCCATAAAACAAAATAAACCAAACCAATCTAAACCAAAGAATACATTCTCTATTCATACGAATTTATCCTAAAAATGTTATCGGCATTAAATAACCCATTGAGGTTGATATGCCGTAAAACAAAATAAACCAAACCAATCTAAACCAAAAGAATACATTCTCTATTCATACGAATTTATCCTAAAAATGTTATCGGCATTAAATAACCCATTGAGGTTGATATGCCATAAAACAAAATAAACCAAACCAATCTAAACCAAAGAATACATATTCTATTCATAGGAATTTATCCTAAAAATGTTATCGGCATTAAATAACCCATTGAGGTTGATATGCCGTAAAACAAAATAAACCAAACCAATCTAAACCAAAGAATACATTCTCTATTCATACGAATTTATCCTAAAATGTTATCGGCATTAAATAACCCATTGAGGTTGATATGCCGTAAAACAAAATAAACCAAACCAATCTAAACCAAAGAATACATATTCTATTCATACGAATTTATCCTAAAAATGTTATCGGCATTAAATAACCCATTGAGGTTGATATGCCATAAAACAAAATAAACCAAACCAATCTAAACCAAAGAATACATATTCTATTCATACGAATTTATCCTAAAAATTTATCGGCATTAAATAACCCATTGAGGTTGATATGCCGTAAAACAAAATAAACCAAACCAATCTAAACCAAAGAATACATATTCTATTCATACGAATCTATCCTAAAAATGTTATCGGCATTAAATAACCCATTGAGGTTGATATGCCGTAAAACAAAATAAACCAAACCAATCTAAACCAAAGAATACATATTCTATTCATACGAATTTATCCTAAAAATGTTATCGGCATTAAATAACCCATTGAGGTTGATATGCCAAAACAAAATAAACCAAACCAATCTAAACCAAAGAATACATTCTCTATTCATACGAATTTATCCTAAAATGTTATCGGCATTAAATAACCCATTGAGGTTGATATGCCATAAAACAAAATAAACCAAACCAATCTAAACCAAAGAATACATATTCTATTCATACGAATTTATCCTAAAAATGTTATCGGCATTAAATAACCCATTGAGGTTGATATGCCGTAAAACAAAATAAACCAAACCAATCTAAACCAAAGAATACATATTCTATTCATACGAATTTATCCTAAAAATGTTATCGGCATTAAATAACCCATTGAGGTTGATATGCCGTAAAACAAAATAAACCAAACCAATCTAAACCAAAGAATACATATTCTATTCATACGAATTTATCCTAAAAATGTTATCGGCATTAAATAACCCATTGAGGTTGATATGCCAAAAAAACCAAAATAAACCAAACCAATTCTAAACCAAAAATGAATACATTCTTCTATTCAATCTAAACCAAAGAATTTATCCTAAAAATGTTATCGGCATTAAATAACCCATTGAGGTTGATATGCCGTAAAACAAAATAAACCAAACCAATCTAAACCAAAGAATACATATTCTATTCATACGAATCTATCCTAAAAATGTTATCGGCATTAAATAACCCATTGAGGTTGATATGCCGTAAAACAAAATAAACCAAACCAATCTAAACCAAAGAATACATATTCTATTCATACAAATATATCCTAAAAATGTTATCGGCATTAAATAACCCATTGAGGTTGATATGCCGTAAAACAAAATAAACCAAACCAATCTAAACCAAAGAATACATTCTCTATTCATACGAATTTATCCTAAAAATGTTATCGGCATTAAATAACCCATTGAGGTTGATAT